CCAAATTATTACATGCATGGAATGGTTAGCATTTTCATTTGACTTGAACCAGATAGTGAATGGTAGGGTTATGCTTAATCGATGAGTTGTTGCTCGTCAACCACCTCTTACAACTTCAAGGAACAATGCTTGTTGAGTGGAGTAACCTTACCGAAGATCATTTCGATAACTTGATATTCAGCGCTCCTAGGCATTGTAGGCACTGTATTTCATATCATGGGAGACATAATTTATTAACCTTCATACCAACAATATAATAATTTTATGTACAGAAGGTATTTCTTATAATAGCTGTATGGATCAAAAATTGTAGTTTTTGTCAATGGTACCATACATGGACCATCTTTTTTGTTCCTAATCTTTTGTGTAATAAATGGGATTTAGGAATAAGTCAAGTTTGTTTTGTTTCTGAACCTTCTTACCTAAGGCTGGCATTATCCTTAATTTATGCACATGAGTGTAGTTTAAAAATGTCAATTTTTTAGGGGAAAAAAACTTAATAATGCAATGAATGGAAAGTTTTGAGTTATATTCATACTTTTTTTTAAAAAATTTTAAGAATTACTAATAGAAAATTTGGAATTATGCCACATTGCACTATAGTCTTCTAGTATCATAAGCGTTAATTCTAAATTTTGTATTTTTTATGAATTGACTTTTTTTACTCATTTTATATATAAGTTATCTACTTCAGTGTTATTGTATTATAAAATCAAAAATTACTTACTGTATCTAAAAGATCCAAGTATTTAAGTAAGTAGTAGTTCCAAAATGGAATCGATACTGCCTAGAAAAATAATTCCTTGCGTTATTTAAAACATTAAATATAACTTCAAAATTTAGCAAACAAATGAAGGTATATATATAATGCAGACAAAAGAATAAATTATATATATTTTACATTTTAATTTGCAATCAGGACTCTAAATTATTTGTAAAAACAACTTAAATATGCTTTTATGTTTTGCATACAAAATTAATCTTGTGATCATAATTAATATATATAAATTACTATTTATGCATGTTATCTTATAACTTGCAATATACTTTGTTGTTTACCTTGCAATTCATTGCTATTTCAATTCAAATCTTATGCATGTGTAAAATATATATTTCTCAATTCTCTATACTCTTTCATTTTAATTTTTGTAGATGGTTATTTCAGAGGGCTTTTTCGAAATCGTGCTCACTGGTTATTGTATTTGATAATTTTTATATTAACTAATTCTCTTAACTTTTCATTTTATGTAAGTATTTCCTTTATGTAAAATATACACTCAAGAACCAAAACATTCTGACCATCTCTCAATAACGAGTTGGCCCACCTTTGGCGTGCAATACAGCTTCAACCTGCCTTAGCATGGATGCCACAAGTCCTTGGTATATGGCCGGAGAGAGATTGTACCAGATGTTTAAGCAACGGTCACGCAAATCCGAAATAATGCGAATTGGCGGTCTTTGAACTCTGATCTGCTGTCCCATGACATCTCATAAGTGTTCTATCGGATTGAGATCCGGTGAGTTAGGCGGCTAGGACGTTAACTGGAATTCAACATCATGTTCCTGAAACCACTCCAACACAATTTTAGCCTTATGCCACGGGGAATTGTTCTGTTGGAACATTCCATTTCCAGCTGGAAAAGCAGAGGCCATGTAAGAGTACAACTGGTACGCAATGCTGTTCAGATACCCTGTAGCATTCATGGTCTGCTCTACCACAACCAAGTGTCCCAGAGACACCCAAGAAAACGTCCCCGAAAGCATAATACCGCCAGCACCGGCCTGTGTATGGCCTACTGTGCATTGAGGGAGCAAATGTTCGCCTGGAAGACGGCGTATCTTGACACGACCATCGGCGTGATAAGTGACAAACCGTGATACATCTGACCATGCAACTCTCTCCCACTGATCCATGGACCAGTCGCGATGTTCCCGGGCCTAGCGCAGACGCAGTTGGCGATGACGCATGGTCAGCAAAGGCACACGAGTGGAACGTTTGCTGCGTAGCCTCATATCCAACAGTGTCCGCTGAACAGTGTGCTTCACCATGCGAGACAGTCTCCGAAGACATTTTTCTTTGATAGCGTGTGGACGTCCAACACCATGTCGTCTACTGCTGGTTTCACTGTTATTCATCCACTTTGCATAAGCACTAACAACTGTAGATCGCGAACAACCCACGAGTCGTGCAGTTTCGGAAATACTTGTTCCGAGCCTTCGAGCTGTTGCAATTTGCCCTCTATCAAAGTCGTTTAGATCCGCAGCCTTTCCCATCACACACAGAAGTAAGTGAAAGAATGTTTCTTCAGACTCTCCTTCAGCAGTTAAATACCACTTCCACCTGATCACGTGCCATCCATGTCATCCAGGCGAGTTCATTGCAAAATGTAGGAGTGGACATAATGTTTTGGCTCTTTAGATTTTCACTTTTATCTGATTTCTATATTTCCTTTGTTAAATTATTATGTCTTTTTGAACCATTGTTAAAAATTTATCGATGACTGTGCTTCGGTTGAAATGATCTGGCAAATTCTGGTTAAAGTGGTAATCTTAATACGTTGCAGTCTAGATTTCGTTTTATATGATTTTCCCACTTTTGGTTTTTAGAGGCAGTCGGTACTCCCTATATCGAAAATGTTAAATTGCGCTTTTTCATGTACTTTTTCTCAGAAACTGTTTAAATATAAAAACTTCAAATTCTGTCTGTATATTAATTATACTTTTTTATTTATACTGAAATGAGATTTTTCAAATATTTTGGTAAGATTTTTCAAAAATTTTTAATGCAAATTATCACTTTGAATTTTTTAAATAATGTCATTTTTTCTTACATCTGGTCGCTATATAAATATTTTGAAAATTTCTCTAAAAACTCACTTTAGTATATGTAGTTACTTATCAGTAATAAGCAGTAAAAATTACAAATCTGTTGATACAGTAGATTCTGAGAAAAAGGTACATATAGTTTAAAAACATTTTAAGAGAATTGCATTTTTAAAATAAAATATCACTTCATCACAAAAATTATGAAATACGACATGTATTTGTACCATTTTATTAAACATTAGCATTCTCTCAAATTATTTAAAGCAAAATAGGAAACAAAAAAGTCTTAATCTGTCCCGAAAATATATACATAGCATTTTTCCTTTTTTGTCTAACGAGATATTTTGTAGCATTTACATGATTTTCCTCAAATTCTGTAACAATCTTGAAGGAATTTTCAGCTTTGATGCATTACTGACATCAAAAAGTTGACCAAAAATATCATGAATGTATTTTAATAATGTATCAATATGTGAAAGCAATGATTTGGGAATATTTGATAGTACAGTATTTTGAAAGTTTTCATTATGTATTTGAATGTTCACATACTAACAACTTCCTGAAGTAACAGAATTCAAATTTCTCTATATGTTAGACAATGGACTTTTAAAACAGCCACAAGAAGACTGTTTTTGTTTTTAAATATGAAATTTATTTATTTTTTATCTATGCAATAAGCTTCTCGCAACGACAATGACAATGTGTCTTTTGTATCATTTTTCTGAAAGTATAAAACATAAACACTCAAAACTTTGTCTGTATGTTAAATAAACATTTATTTTTATACTTAAGTGAAATTTAAAAATAAATTAATTAGCTTTTTTTTTTAATAAAAAGGTAAATTTTTTTATAACATAATAAGGAATTTAATAACATTGTAATTTTTTTGTTACAACATCTGCTTTCTAGCTAAATGCTTTAGAAATATTTTAAAAATTTCACTTCGGTATATACAAGTATATATCCATGCACACATGCAGTATCTTTAGGTAAAATAACACAAACAATTTTAAAAATAAAATTTTTAGAGAACAGTAATTTTTATAAAAATTCTTATCTTTTTAAAGTAAGTATTTTGTACTACTTATTAATCTTTGTATGGCACTCCACAAATATTATGTTTAATTATCCATTATGTAATAATTAACTTTCAAGTCACTCAAATCATGAATTACAAACTTCGCTTCAAAATGTAATAGTTAAACTTGCAAAGTTAATTGCTTATGAATAAATAAAAAAGGTATAGGGGTTTTGCAAATGTGTCAGGATATTTAAAATGCTAATATCTATCAAAGAGAGCGTGGTATGCCAGCTGATGTTTTTTTAAAAGTCATTTTGACACTTCTAATTCAATAAATGGCAAATCTGTTTAATTCCTGGAAAGGTCATGAATTGGAGATTTCAGAAATATCAAAAACTTAACAATCATAATCCAAAGAATTTTAGAAAACTTATTTCCCTTAATTATGAGTTTGTGTTATTATTTTAATTAGACTTAGACTTTTACAATCCATGTGCTTTTTTCCAAGACGATTTTCTTTTCATTTCAGCCAGTGACATAAAGAATAATTGGAGGAAAGTTGATTGGACTAAAGCCCTGTTTAATCCTACAATCTTATTCTCCCTAAGACTAAGGGTTTGATGATGGATTGCTATGGCCATTGAGCTTCGACCTACACTATTTTGTTACTCTTCTAATTGTAATTTATCTTTAATTTAGATTTAGGTCTATTTAGCATATGGTGACTTTATGAAATACCAAGTGAAAGATGTGGGTAATGGTTAGTATATAATGCAATATTTTATCAAATTCCCACATGGTACGTGGGTCAAATATGTTTTTTTTATTTCTAATGGGCTGCGGATTGGTGTTCTACCATTCCATACCTAGTACATTTCCTGGAAACTGGTATCTATTTTAAGCGCGGCACCATATAGGTGGATATCAATCTCCGCAGGTAGTTTTGACGTCCGGTTTTCTCCCTAGAGGGAGGCACTTGAGCTCTGACATTGTGAACCTGTATTTGGTTTTAATTTTTCCGAGATCATCAAAAGCCAAACAGACAGTCTAGGTATCTTTTACATGCCATATAACCTATTTGGGTCGGGGTCAATCCCGCTACCTTAGTTGCAGAAGGCCAATGATAATCCAGCTACGTCATCCAGCCGGCGGGGTAGGGACCCGTTACGTGGTGAACTATTCGCGGGCAGGACGAAGGCCGAGGAAACTTGGCTGGACGTCCGAAGCGGTTCTGATGTATAAATCGATCATCGGACCCGAGTCTAGGTCCGAAAGATAATTTGAACCACCTGGTAGCGGGTTCCCTCCGAATTTTTCTTCAGAATAGCTGGTGCAGAACCGAAGCAGTCTCGCTCAGAGAGAGAATGATTATAGCCCATCGGGGAGGCACGTGTCACTCGTCCTCTTCTCAAACTAAGTAACGGGTAAGAAGGCTGTTTCCCCGGATTCTGAGGCGTCCGCTATCATGAGTGTGCCAAATGAGCCACTTTTGGTGAGCAGAACTGGTGGTGCGGGATGAACCAAACGCAGGGTTAAGGCGACCGATGCGGGACATACATAAAGACCACATAAAAGGTTTCGGTTGCTCTTGACAGCAGGGCGGTGGTCACAGAAGTCGGCATCCGCTAAGGAGTGGGTAAAAACTCCCCCTCTATGCCCGGCCGTTTCTCTCGGAAGTACTTTGCGTCCGAGTGTAGAGAAACGAGTAGGAGGTTAATGGTGGAGAGTATAGAAGACCAGGACGTGAACCAGACTGGAGTATCTGCCGGTGCAGATCTTGGTGGTAGTAGTATATATTTGAGTGAGCACTTCGAAGATTGAAGCATGGAAAAGGGTTCCATGTGAATATCATTTGAATATGGGTGAGTTGGTTCTAAGGTACCTCTTAACATAGTTTACAAGTCGAGACATTAATGGGTCACATATGTAGTATGCTGGATGTAGTGCATTTCAGATATCCATATTTGTAAAACATGACGGCATTTGGCAGAAAGCGCGATTGAACTCTTTTCAAAGAAACTTTTAATCTTAAGAAGATATAAAAATCCGACAGCAACATGGCATATGAAGAAAAACACTGACTTTGTGTATTAATTGAGTATTGTTTATTACTCTTGCTGGGATTTCGAATTCCTTTTTTATAGGTTTGTACACCCTGGATCGCGAAAGAACATTAAACAGTTTTCTACCTCTCTTTTTCAAAGGTGGAATTTTTTTATGAAGTCGATGTTCTTTGTGACTTCTCTGCAGATAGTTCAGGTACGTGCCAGCTACAATTACATTTCAGCGTTAATTAATGTTACTAAATTCTTAGGATATAAAGATATGGAGTCTCAGGGGTGAAAATATAAACAAATTTCAAACAGGTATACTTCCATTAAATTTAAATTCAATAGTTCGAATCATTTACGCGTTTTTTATAAAGGATTATGGTTTCAAAAAAGTAAAAAAAAGTTTAAAATATAATCATAATTTTAAAAGTTATAAGATTATGCAAAAAAGAAATAATTTTGAAATAAATATTAAGTAATTTTTGGGTTGCAACGCTATTTCCTAAAATAGCAGCCCTTGATGCATAAAACTTTATAGAATTATAAAATGTATCCTACTCCTGAAGCCCTAGTGAATTAAGAATAATATAACTTTTGTATTTCAAAATATTTGAAAAATTTGATATTTTTTTTAAAAAAATTGAAAATATAATTTTTTTATTTCTTAAAAAATATAATTTAATATTCTATTTAGGAAAAATTACTATGGTGCAATAAGGATACATTTAACTTTATAAATCAACTTATTGCTAGTAATTAAAGCTACTACTTTTGAAAATAGCATGTCGTAAAACTTAATTAATAATTGTTATAAAAATATTTCTTATTTTCATATGCTTATACTTTTTAGAATTATGATGATATTTTAAACTTTTTACACTTTTCTGAAGCCCCATTCCTTTATAAATAAGGTGTAAAAGATTCGAATTATTTAATTTTAATTTCAAAGAGTTATATGAATTTAAATATTGCTTACATTTTCAGCCCTCCAGAAAAAGTTAACACTCCTGAGACCTCTTAAAAAAGCAAAACTATAATAAATAATTTTAACTTAGGGTTCGATGTATTTTATAACTGAATGCATAAAAACTGCAGATATACTATTTGTAGAGACCATCAAGATCAGCATGGGTTTAGTAAAACCCGTGCTGAAAAGTAGTTAATTGTTCATCAAAATACTGAATGGGTAAGTAATATAAAAAGATTAAATTATAGTATTTTTAGGAATTAAATACGTGAACAGCTACATCTTAATCTTATAAGTTGAAGTTTTTCTTACCCTTAGAAACATATCTAACTTTGGATTTTTCCTGACCATGCATCGCATGGACCAAAAATTCACCAATTCAGTAAAAGCCTGTTAGAAACATTGAAAAATTCAATTAAAAGAAAATTGTACACGAAAAGAATATAAAACTATATATTACAGATCAATCTCTTATTATATGAAAAATATATCTTAAAAAAATAAACTGCCATCACATAAAATAAAAAAGCATTACGAGAAATGAGTATAAATAATGGATTAAAAACATTTTGTAAGAGAAAAATTTCAAAAAAATTATTGTTCTGTTTTGTAAATTATATTCCTTTAGCAAAAAATGAAAATAATATCAAATATCAGAAAACTTAAATGAAAAATAAATTACACACTAAATTTTTAAGGGATTGTATCTTATTAGCATCGAGGAATTGATATCTTGCTATTTGAAGTCAGGTTACAAGTGCTAAATCGATCTTCACTGCAATTCCAATTAGAATGCATAAGTAATACTCGAAGCACATTACAAACTGTATTTTAAAACAAAATTTCATAAGTGAAACTATTTATCATTGCCTAAATTACAAGATGTTTCGGAAAATTTAGTTTCTGTGTATGCAAAACATATAACTTAATATAGAAAGCTATTTAAAAAACTTTGCATTTTCAAAGTAAATAAGTATATTAAGATGTATTTATTTGCTATGATTTTTAAGTTTTTAAAAAGCAAAAAAAAAAAAAAAGAATACATAGTTTCAAATACATTCATTGCAATATGAATGGCTTTCTTATCGCTTATTGCGTATGCTAACAAAAGTACAAGTTTCTTTTTTAATCTCATTCCCATAAACGTTTATCAATCTCTCACCTGACTCAATGATAAATTTAAATCATATTCAACTAGTGCATGACAGCTGTAAACAGAAGATCTCTGCTAATATTTTTGTATATATATGGACATAGAAGCAACAAGTTGGGGGAAAATGTGCACTAAGCATTTTTTTATTGAATACGACCCATACCTTTGCATAAGTTTAACACAAACATACTTTACCACAATAAAAGCACTGTTGGAAGAAAAATTCATCATTGTATGAAACAAATTAGCACAGAATTAGGAAAAGTATATCTTGTAAACATTACAAAAATGTCTTACAACAAGAAATATGTTCACTCCTAACTGTAATTCATTGCTGGCATCAAGTTATCGGATGCTAAAATGTGTGAAGCGAAGATCAAATATAAAGTAACCCTTATTGCTGCTCATGGTATTCTAAGTACGTTTCATCGAGTTCAAGTCTAGAGATTGTGCTTGCAATTTCATTCGTTCCTAACTATCATCCTGAAGATAATCCTTAACAAGCACATTGGGTATTTCAAAATATTATCATCCATCAGAATGAATGCATCATCAATACCAGTGGCGTATGGATAAATATATCGATGGAGGATATCAAAACTCTGATATCTCAATCTAGTCAAAATTCCTACATAGATCACCTGCAGTTCAGTGTGACCACTGAGAGAAATCTCTGCCCAAACTATAATTCCACCACCTTCGGAACAGTGCATGTCAACATCGCCGGATTAATTGTGTCTGGTGTGTTGTTCAATCCCGATCAGCGGACACCCCGAATCGCTCATCAGCTTAAACCTAGACTGAGAGATCATGGAGAAGAGTATCTGGTGAGAAACATGGTGAAGGGCACAGAAGTGCAGTGCTGTCTAGCCCTGGAAACGTGTTTCTTTTTTAATATAAAGGGGCACATCTCTGTCGATGGCTTTAAGAAACGCACATAATTGGTCAATTTGCGTAGAAGCTTGCATTGTGAAAGCGGTTTTGCACCATTCTAGCTAAGATTCCTGTTGCTTATACGACAAAGTAATTTGCAATGACCTCAGGCATCGTAGTGCTTTTTCTCTTTCAGCCAGCAAGAAACCAGTTCCCTGCATATATAATAACATATGATTGACCTGGAACATGCCTCCTAGATACATAGTTTTTAAATTCCATATGATTCCACAGCCATTGTATCTAACTGGGAGTCAATTTGAGACTCTCTAGAAGCATCAGTTTGTGACAAGCCCTGTTCCATCCATTTCAGTGCCTATCACCTAAATGAATCAAGATAATAGTTTATCCAAGAAATTTCCAGAATACCTTCGATATTTTTAACGAAACTACTAAGAACTATAGAAGATCAACAATCATACATGCAACGTGCACTGCTTACCAATCGATGTAAATTTGATTTTTGTGCATTTTGAATAATTTCTAGTTAAATGTCCGTTTCTTTAAATGAAAGTTTTGACTATCATTTTTTTCACATAAATAATTTTAAAGTACTTGATTATTATTCATATAAATAGTGATATTTATCGTTGATGCAATTTGTTTAATGGCGAGCTTTGAAAAATATATCGTACCTTAAATTTTGCAGGCTAGTGCATATCTCGAACTATATTGGAAATCAGGTTATTGCCTTTAAATATTTGTCGAGATTATTTTGAATTAATTGGTTATTTTCATATATTTTTGGATAATAAATTTTTAAGTATTTGTTTCAGAGAAAATTGAAATTTCATTATAGAATTTTCTTAAACTATACATATCATCCATTGTGGAATCATATTTTTTATTGCTATCTTGCTTTTACTATGAATGTAAGCGGGAAAACTGAAAATAATGAGCTAAAAATTCAGGCAAATATCCGTGGTATAAATTATAGTAGATAACATTTATTATTATGTAAGTAATTGTTTCCAAGTAAGGAAATACTAATTTAAACAATGTTTTTGAGATAGGAAAATTATAATACTGAAAATAATAGGAAAATCTTGTTAATATTAATTTTTTATACATTCCCTTTTAAAATATCCCATTACTTTCCCTTTAGTTATTTATTGTTTTATAGCAATATTTAAAAAGGAGGTATGCAAAATAAATTTAAAATTATAATGAAAATATTTTATGTAAATAATTAAAAAAAACCATTTTAATAAAAAAAATTGATACAGTTTAGACTTACTTCATAACAAACATAACTATTCAAAACGGCTTGTAAAAAGTTGTATACTATCAGTACTACTTTAAGGTTATAAGGCTTCCGAGAATTCATATAAATAGGACCAATCCATAATACGAACAGAAGATAAACAGCGATTATTGGAACTGGAACTGCAGCACTGGAAACCAATCCCTTTGGATGATACTCTGTGAAAATAATCAATATACTTATTTTAAATAATAAAAATATTTTTCAGAGGTATTTTAGTAAAGATGTCATCTAAACTCTGACAATAATATTGGGTATGGTTTTAGCACATTTGTGGTTCCGTGTGGAACAGAATCATTTTCGGTCAGTTGCTCTTAAGGGGACCTGTACTCATGGCTTTTCCTTAAAAAGAATGCCGTTTACCACACACAAAATACGCAGTTTATTTGAAATGGTAGCCGGATGGAGCAATATTGATGACGAAATAACGTAGGATCGTGTTGTCAGACGAGTTACACTTTTGATTGTCCATTAATAGTTTGAGTATTTGTAAGTACGTATAAGTGGAGGCGTGTCTGTTTCT